TCCGGACGCGCAGGCTCAGCGGCCATGGCTCACGGGCCCAGCCGCTCCGCGGCATGTGGGATCCTCCCGAAACGGGGCACGAACCCGCGTCTCCTGCATCGGCAGGCGGACTCTCAAGCACTGCGCCACCAGGGAAGCCCCTAACTATGTATTTTTAAGCAGAAAAAAATCCTTTAGTTTTCCTTCTTATAGCATCATTGGCACAAGAACAGAACATTTCTGGTTTAGAAATGATGTTCAGTTTTTACAAAAATGAAGATGTACTTTGTATTAACTTAAAAGTCTAAAAAGCACAGGATACATTTTCAGACCAATTTTACTTTTACCCACTTATGGTAATATGTGCAATGTTAGAATGTACTTAGGTAATGTGTAAATCAAATGAAAAATCCAGAAGCAGCTGGTCCTGAATTACAGCACACACTGGAAATTTTGAGAAAGGAGAACACATATTAACAAAAAGAACACCAGCAAGCTCACACTCAAGTTTATATGCTGAGTATTTTTAAAGGGTTTAAAAAGCATAATCAGCATACAGCTTTTTCTCACTTAACAGATGCATTTCTATTTGCTTGCATACAGCAAAGGGTAAAAACTTGAATCAACTTACTTATGATTTCAGAAATGTATTCCATGGAATTTACTTCACTGCTCCTATCATTGATTCTTCAAATAAGCAAAGTACAGAGGGTCTCATCCCTTGAAACTGCTTTTAAACTAGCACTTTACATTGAAAAGTAAGTAGAAACCTAGCAATTCCTGGTACAGTGCCTGGACTTAGCCTCATTTAATATAAGAATTGGATGTACAACAAAAAATTTATCATTTTCTTTATCCTTGGAGGACAGGGAAGGAATAAGGAGAGATGGGGACATGGCTGCAGTATTTAAGAGCTGAATAGAACAACGCATCTTTCACAATGCTGAGAACTCCACAAAGAAGAACCACCATGAATCTCATCAATTTTTTTAGTTCACGCTGGATTAGGAATTTAGATTCCCCTCTTTGTGTATCAATTCAAACTTCTCCCAAAATTAATACTACAAGGTAAACTCTAACTGCAATAGGTATTTCCTAAGTAGGAGACCAAACACCAAAGGGAATCCCTTCTTCCAACATCTTTTGGTATGCTTTCACCAAAGAGGAAATCTAGCACTTAAATATGAAATCTCTTGGCCAAGTAAGAAACTACAGCTATTATGGGTATTACCCTACATAGCCACTATTTGTATTACATATTAAATTAAACCCAGCGTTAAATATGCTTGCATAATTATGCTGTGAACGATGATAGCAGTGATGACGCTAGTGAAAAAGCATCATCTACCCCAAGAAGAGTAGGATGAAAAAATGTGAAAACAAGTAGAAAGCAGACAAAGAGTTGGGCATTTTCTGATCTGAAAAGAACATTTTAAACATAGAAATACAAAAAGAAAAGTATTCCCTTATTTCCCCTGTGTGGAAATGTGAAACATTTATTTTAGATACCAGACAAGAACAGAGCGAAGTAATCCAATTTTACTGCAGCAGTATAAAAATCATCCTTTCACCACAGTGTAAGATTAAAGTTCATCTGCACAAGGGTACACAATATATAAAATGTAGTAAGATTACTGCTGCCCTGTCAAGTACTTCCAGTCCCTACCCAGGTCCTACTGCAATACTGGTGGTCCCAATAGTTTCATGGAAGCAAATCATTAAAAAAAATAATAAAGCAATTAAAAAGACAAATCAAAATGCCTCAGTGACCATATATCCAACTCAAACTTTATCTATTTAAATGTTACATTTGCTTCCCACTAATAAATCTTTATTTCACTCAAACTTGAACAATAAATCTTCCATACTGAAGTATCTTCCTTGCCTAACTAATTCAAAGGAAAAAACCAAAATGATTAGTAAAGAAAAATGTAGGGATTAACACACCCTTTTGTTTTAAAGATTTTTAAGGTTTAAAAATTGTTTAAAGTTTTAAATTTCTAGTAAGAAAACATTATCTGAATGAATACCCTAATGGCAAACCACTGTAAAATGTTTCAGCTGCATTTGGGGCAGAGGGGTAGGGATTATCTTCAAAGCACCCCACTTTCTTCATGAGAAGGTCAGAGGTACACTGGTTTGTATTATTGCGACATCCATTAGGTGATCTAAGTTGCTTTCTCTTCAGCAGGGGCTTTATTTGTCAGAAGGGCATTATGCTTGACCTCCAAATTTGGCCGACAATTTACTGATGAGATTCATAACCTTTGGGTTGCTCTGATATTTTGACATATTTGCCGGGTTCTGAGCCACATCCTGGAAGGCCACCATAACTTCTGGATCCTGCAAAGAAAGGTGTGTCTGTGTATATATATATATATGTTTAGTATGAAAAAAATGTTCTATGGGTCATCAATTTTGTTATCCTAAATCCTATCTCTTTATTCAGACCTTTACATTTTGTCATGGCTAAGTCAACTCAGGTTTGGACAAGTCCCTGAAGCGTAAATATTATTAATGTGTACTTCCAACTCCAACTCAATTATGTCACTTCAGACAATGAAAAAAAGGATATACAATTTTGATACAAAGAAAAGGACAACAGGATATAATGACCAACTATTACAGAGTATTTCCCTATAAACCACTTTTAAAAACTTAAGCTACTCATTCTGAAAAAAAGAACATGAATGTCAGAACTGCATAATAAGCTATTTGGTAATTCAGCTCAATAAAATATGGCCAACAGAGTAACCTTAACCTGTCTCCACATAGAATTATGAAAGAAATGCCTCAGTGATATGAAGTCCAACTTTGTTCTTCCAAGTCTTACCTGCATGGCTGCAAGAACCTCTGGATCACTAAGAATTTCATTGAGCCCAGGGATTCCTGCCATTCCAGGCATGCCCCCTCCCATTCCAGGCATTCCTCCAGGAAAATTACCAGGCATTCCGCCAGGAAAGCCACCTACAAGAATAAATGAAAGATCTGTACAGACACCAAGCATATTCCCAAGCAGTCTGAGTACACTATTTCCTCCTGATTAAAATAACACATGTGCATGCACAAAGAACAAGGGTGCTACTAAACACAAAGGAGTCTGAACATTCTAACTGGATGTAACAAGACACAATTTTTAACATTAATTATTTAAAAATAAGGCTGTAAATATTTTTTTCCTAGTAACAAAACTTTAAAAAGAAAACTAGTCTTACCTCAGAGAGAAAACTAACAGTCCCTTGGAATTATAAAATTAAAAAGTCTCATAAGTCACCTTGTATCTTATCTTCTCATTCTTTAATATTATTTGTCTGTTTCAATTTAAAGTTAATTCATAAGAGTTTAGTGGTTTTTTTTTCCCTAAAAAACTATATTCCCCTAAGCTAACTGCTTCCTTCAAGAACTACCTGAAATGCTTGTTATAAAAAGCTGTGGATTTTTGGGAGTCCCCTGGTGGTCTAGTGGTTAGGATTTGGTGCTTTTCACTGCCGCGAGCCAGGTTCAATCCCTGGTCAGGGAACTGAGATCCTGCAAGCTGCAGGACTCAGCCAAAATTTAAAAAAAAAAAAAAAAAAAAGCTGTGGATTTTAATTTCCACCCTGCCTCAAAATTTCTGAAAGTAAAACTGAAAATATGCATTTTTAACAAGCAGTCCTGGTGTCTCTTTTTTACACTGAAAACAATGCTCTAGTAAAAAAGATTTAATTCTCCCAGTATATTTTTAGATTACAAACCCAAACTTTTCTACTGTTTTTCACTATCATAAACCTTTATGTCCATTGGAGATATCCTAAAATCACAATTAACACCAACACAGGGACATCCTAAAAAGAAATACAGGTAACATTAATCTACAGATCAAGGGTCATTACAAATAAAGCTATCATAAAGAAGAAACACCTATAACACAGTGATTTCCATCTGTCTCAACAATACAAACGTGCCCATAAATAACTAACAATCACAGATAAGGAGATCTAATCGGGGGCCTGAAAACAACTTCTAGTTTCTTATGCTACTTTCTACAAAACTACTTTCTACAAACTACTTTCTACAAAAATTTCCTTTTTGTAGAAACTACTTTCTACAAAAATTACTGACCCAAGGCAACAATAGTTAGCCAGTCTGCTTGTCAAATCCATATAATAAAACCCACATGACAAAAAAATATCTCTAGTACTAGTCCACATTAGTGGTCATTTTCTAAAACAAAGGTACCTGATATATTATCTTATAAACAGTAAGCTATGAGCTAAGATTTACTTTCTTGCTTTTTCTCCAAGTCATCCCCAATGTATGTTCCTTCCTTTTTTTTTTTTAGTTGCCTGCACATGACGTTTCAGATTAGAGGCTACCTTTCCTAGCCTCTGACCATGTGGTAAATTCTAAGCAAGGGAAGCAAAAGTGGTGTGTAGCTGCCTCTATAAACCTTTACAAGAAAGCTAGTTGCAGCTGCTGATCCCCCATTACAATTACGAACTTAAAAAACTCTCTTTTCTTTAAGTAAATTTCACACTGCCTCATTCAGGAAGCATTCTCTGAGTGCCTTTCTAACAGCTCTTCTACCTGTATCACATAGGCCTCTGCTATCATTCAAGGCTTTGCCTCGCTAGTAATTTCTGATCACTTGACATTTGCAAGAAAGGGAAGAATGTGTTGATATATTAATTCTACACTGGATGCAGAACTTTTTGTGCTTAATGATTCCATGCTTTTACCTAGTATCCTCATGAATATCAATGTATAATAGAACAAAATTCCATTACAGCCATTTAGGAATACTCTAATTAATACATCATAATAAATTCTTATAGTCTTTTAATAAAATACAATGCTCAGACCTCAGTAAATTTTATCTATTTTTAAAAAGTATACTGCTCAAAATATGAGGAAAATAATATACTGTATTTCCACTAACAAAATTTTTAACAAGAATGAAACTTTCTAGAGGCTGACATTCTAAAGACTCAGTGTTCCAGGGACTAATGGTACAAAATACAATATACATACCTGAGCCTCCAAATCAGAGTATTACCCAATTATTTACAATATTAAGAGTTTTAATTTTTTTCAAAATACCTGGAAAAGAGCCATACTGAGCTCCTGATTGTCGTCTGGCTTCTTCCTCCTTTAATACAAAAAGGAAATAAATTATATAATAAGAAGGGGGAAGTCTGCTGTCCACGCCTACCTTATCCATGCAAAACCATGAAAAAATTGTAAAATAAGCTAGTTAGAGGACTCACAAGTTTTGACAAGTTTCAAATGGCAATGTTGGACTAAAGGAGACACCCCATCTCCCAAAAAACAATTTTCAATTGGATTCTCAATGAGTATTACTTTTGGTAATTATTTCAAGTAATATTTTTGATTTGTAACTAAAACTAAAAAATAAGTAGAGTCAATTTTAAATAGCTATGAATCCACTATTAAAACGGAAGTAATCATAAAACTTAAAATATGAGGGCTTGCATCCTAAAGAAAGCAAATAGTACTGCCAAGTTTTGAATTAATTACTTGATCAGGAAAAAGTCTTGATTTTAGGAGAACACAAACACAAAGTCTTGATTTTAGGAGAACACAAACAAGAACACAATTTAGGATATAAATTGGTACTATACAAACTCACTCAAGAATTTGAAGACTAAGCAATGAAGGGAAGGAAAACTTCCTTTAAGTAGTATCACTATCCTACAGAACTGCAGCCAGCTCTTTTTATTTAACAAGAGCCAGGAATTAGAATGATATCCAAAAAAGTCTGATATACTATATTTGGCTTTAATGGTTTAAGTATAGAAACCTTACCCTCTGGGCTCTCTCATGTTCTTCCCGAGCCTTCTTGACCCTTTCTATTCTTTCTTTGATCTCTCGCTCTTCACGTTTTCGCTCATACTTTCTCCGATGTTCAGCAATTTTCTGGGCCTAGGGAAGAAACAGCCACAGAAAAATGTCTTCTCTGAAAGTTGAATAAGGTAGCACAAATCAGTGGTTTTGTTAAAGAATTACTTTTCTTCGTGGAGAGATTTAATTCAACACATAGTTGTGAAAAATGGGTTAGATTTACCCTATAGAAAAAGACCTAACTCAGGCTTTAACAAGTCCACTGTAAAACAAAGAAAAGAGGCTGGGATTTGAAGTTAGAGAAAAGTGTTAAAAATTTCAAACAATTACTTAGTGCAAGGATGACAAGCAGATGTCAAATTGCATGACAATTTTTGCCTGATACCTGCCATGGGAAGGCAGAGACTGGGAACACACATACCAGTTACTTCCCACAGTCTAACTATACTGAAGTTTTCCTCATCAATAAAATGAGAGGGCAGAGAGAAGTATGTTAGTCTTAACTATAAGAATCAAGAGAAAATATGTACCAGGCACTAGTACATAGTCCATGCCAAACATTTGGAATCTAGTATTCACAGAATAACATAAACGTAAGAGATTCATATTCAACCATTATTTTAGCTTGTTTATGATTATTTTTTAAGAACCTTGTGCTCTAGAATATCTCATCCGATAACCTTGCTGAGTTAGCCCTGTTACAAAAAGAAAGAAAATCAAATCATCTGATAGATTAAATCCAATAAAATTTCCACCATCTTAAAGCCTCTGATAGTAAATTCTTGAACTTCCCACAAAGCTGAAAGATTTACCATGTAAACGCACTAAGTTGTTTTAACTATTTTAGATAGAAATAAGGACAAACCAGACTCAATCCTGGGCTGCATTTTATAAATATTCTAGTTGTTCTTTTGCTGTAAACCTGATCCCGTTTTCCATTTCTAACCTTCTGGGTATAATTTTGCAGGGTTGCAAACAAAATAACATAGCTTGCTGTAATACTGCATGAGAAATTAAAGTATGAAAACCCAATGAGATTTCCTGAGTTCAACACAAATTTAAATGATTACAGATTATAACTTCCAAAGATTGTTTCCTTGCATCTGTTTTGCAGTTAATTTACTGCTAGGGTGTTAAGTACTAGAGCCATTAGTAATGACTTTTCCCTTCTCTACTTTACCATACCCTTGGTTGAACTTCTTTCAGCATTGCACTAGCATCTTCATCATAATCCAGCTTACAGGCAAGGGCAAGATCATGGGCAGCTTCTTCCCAATGGCCCAAAAGTCTGAAACAGATTTTAAGTAATTTTTGGAGCCTTTTACACATATTCACTTATGTAGCATGGTGTCTTACTTTCTTATTATAAAAAAGGACTGTTACAGAAGAGGTTTAGATATTTAACTACAAATTTTCATGAACCAATTCAATTAGTATGTTCCACTCCATAAAAATTTAGTTTAAATTTCCTCTATGGTAAATGTGAAGCTGTTCTACTAAAAAATGTTTAAAAGCTTTTAAAAAATTGTTTTAATTCATAGTATTATGATGTTTAAAAAAATTATGTAGAGCCACAACTTTCAACTCATTCAAAACAGGGTTAACATGACGCGTATTCAGCATGCTACCTTCTATATGGGATAGAAAACAACATGTGTGCACATATTATTTAAAAAGGAGAGATGGGGGCTTCCCTGGTGGCGCAGTGGTTGAGAGTCTGCCTGCCGATGCACAGGACACGGGTTCGTGCCCTGGTCAGGGAAGATCCCACATGCCATGGAGAGCGGCTAGGCCCGTAAGCCATGGCCGCTGAGCCTGCGCATCCAGACCCTGTGCTCCGCAACGGGAGAGGCCTGCCTACCGCAAAAAAATAAATAAATAAAAAGGAGAGATGGGATGGATCAGAAACTAAAGGTTGGTGGAGATAGGTAAATATGGAGTAGAGGAGATAGCAATGGAAATGAGACTTCTCTGGTTATACCTATTAACTCAGTTTTGACTCTTTAAACATGCTAATGTTTTACATACTCAAATAAGAAAATTAAATCAGAAAGGACAGAAATAAAGCAAGCCCAAACCCTGAATACAAACAGAAATAAAGAGGCTAATTATTTATCACATTGACAACATAAACCATACAGGAAAAATTAATTCAAGTAATTTTTAAACCAGTATTCTGACTGTATATCTTAAGTGAGACATATCCTAGGGATAAGAACTGCAAAATAAACTTTACTTAAAGGGTATATTATTTTTAAGGCATGATTCTAGGAGAATACTGTGTAAAATACAAAATGGAAAACATTTAATGTTGAATTTTAATTGAGAATATCGGTATAAACTCAAAATTTCTCAATTTCGTTCCCTAAAATCATTATTTTTAAAGGTTTTTTCTGACTGTTAACTGAAATGACAATGACTATATCCTGGAAACAGTAAACATACCTAGTGGCCAAACTTCAGTTTCCACAAAATAATCCCCACTAAAACCAAGATTTTCTGGAGAAATGGTCTACTCCAAGCTGTTTTTTAATGGTTTTCTTTGATGTTATATATGTGTATTTTTAAATTTATTTTTTATTTATTTACTTTTTTGGCTGCATTGGGTCTTAGTTGTGGCATGTGGGATCTTAGTTCCCTGACCAGGGATCGAACCTGCGTCCCCTGCATTGGAATGCAGATTCTTTACCACTGGACCACCAGGGAAGTCCCTGGTCTATTCCAAGCTAAAGTACAAGATGAGTTCTTATACCAGAAGGCCAAGAAATGCTCAAAGACTAATGGGGTCGATCTCAAGACAATCAACAGCAATGCATGACCTTTCATATACCCAGAGAGCATTAATACAAATTTTCCAATCTTTTACCTGTATCTTTGACATCTGCCTTCATAATCACTAGAGCTACTTTTTGAGTCACCTAATACAGATGGTCCCAAGCATATTCATCTTCATCTCCATCCACACTTGAAGCACAGTACCTTTTCAATCCATGTAAGATGTAAATAGCACAGGACATTTCATCCCAAACCACAAAGACTCATCTGTATATTAAGTTTTGCTTCCAGATTTGATTACTGATCTGGGTTAACTTCACCTCTTTATTTTCCCCCTTATCTGACTCTTCAAGTGACCTAACAGTGATCGAAGTAGTCTGAAGCTAGTATATTCCTTTTTCCATAATATATTGGCTGTTTAATGTTAAGTTACAAAGTCTGAAAATAACAGAAAGTTTGTAAGACACTGATATAAAGCCACTCTCTTTTCTTAGAGATAACTGAGAAAAATCCTTACCTTACATTTGGCTATATGTGGCCAAAAACTGTTAACACTGGTATTCACTGAATGGAAGCAGTGAAAAGAATTTTTATTTTCTTACTTGTTCCTTATGACAGTCTCTCAATTCTACATATTGAGCATGTATTACATTAAAATTAAATCCTTAGGCAATTCTTTAAAGATTTTTTTTTATGTGGACCATTTTTAAAGTCTTTATTGAGTTTGTTACAATATTGCTTCTGCTTTATGTTTTGGTTTTTTGGCTGTGAGGCATGTGGGATCTTAGCTCCCCAACCGGGAATCGAACCCACACCCCTGCATTAGAAGGTGAAGTGTTTTAACCACTGGGCAGCCAGGGAAATCCCGCAATTTTTTTTTAAAATAAGGTATATTAAAACATCAGATTTAAACTTAAAGAGCTCTGAAAATAACTAAGTCTCATTAGTTACCTGTGTGCTTTCCCTCGCCACTTGTATGGCTGAGCAGAATCTGGATTTATTTCAATAGCTCTGTCACAGTCTCGGATGGCAGCATTTGGCTTCTGTAATTTGATGAAGACACTAAAAAATAAGTATGATATTAAAAAGTATTCATTTCAAACAGTAACTTTTTGGGGGTTGCCACAGAAGCAATTCTATCTAAACAAATAAGCAGAAATCAGTTTTTATTTAGAGTTCTCACCTCGCTCTCTTGGCATAAAGAATGGCCAAACGAGGATTTAGCTTGATGGCATCTGTGAACAAGTCAATGGCTTTCTGTAGTTCACCTAAAGTGAAACAAAAGTTTATTGAGAAATAGTGGATAAAAAATATTAATAAAAACTGTTGGTCTCTTTAATTAGCCTTTCACATTTCCCTTTTAGCCTAGTAAGACTAGTTTCTAAATTAACATACAAAACTGGCTCTTCAAAGCAAAATCTTTACCATACCTATACTGTAAATCACTCAAGACAGACAATTTTGGGGAACATAACCCCCCTAAAAAATATTAGAATACCACATTCTTGGTAGGACTCATTGGCTTTTAAATTTAGATAAAATCAAAGGATAAGTCAATTTTATTCTATTAATTACATTCTTTTATCCAAAGGACAGGGCTTCCCTGGTGGCGCACTGGTTAAGAACCCGCCCGCAAATGCAGGGGACATGGGTTCGAGCCCTGGTCCAGGAAGATCCCACATGCCGTGGAGCAACTAAGCCCATGCACCACAGCTACTGAGCCTGCACTCTAGAGCCCACGAGCCACAACTACTGAAGCCCACGCACCTAGAGCCCATGCTCTGCAACGAGAAGCAACTGCCATGAGAAGCCGGCACACTGCAACGAAAAGTAGCCCCCGCTCACCGCAACTAGAGAAAGCCGCGCACAGCAACGAAGACCCAATGCAGCCAAAAACTAATTAATTTTTTTTAAGTTGTTTATATGATAAAAAAGCAAGAACTGTAGAAAAAGAGATGTGGCAATTGGCCAATGCAGCCAAAGAGGGTGGCAATATCCAATCTGATTCCAAGATCTGAGAAGCTGTTTAATGCCCAACATATATCCACTGCTTACTAGAAAATAAACATGGTTATAAAAGAATGAAATTAAATATATTTTCTTTCCATTTGTATTATTTTTTTCAAACAATCACTAACTTGTTAGGACATAGATACTTATTAAATTGTTTGAACCTAACTACATTATAAACTAAACTGTTATGTATTTCTTTTGGCCTACGAGTGCTGTGAAAAAAGTGAAAATGGTGAGGACACTATAAACAGAGCAAGTTTGGGAAACTCTGCCCCAATGCAAAGCTATCATCATTAGCTACCTGGATGACAAAAATTTCTTCCCTCCCTCTGTGGAGTCATGAAAATCCACCTTAGATTTGCTGCAGTGAGCACAACTGATGGAGAACGCCACCTTCTAGGCTCAAGGCTGTACTCCATAAGCTGCTCCCAGCTAATGACTGAATACAGGAAGGATACCCAGGTAGGCCCATTCTTGTGAGATGTGCAGCTCCTCTGATGGGCAACCTTGGCTTGCCTAGACTTTTAGAAACACACACACAGTTGAAGACTTTTCCTACACAACCTTCCATCTCTCCTACAGAGGGGTAAGAACTACATGATAGCCTCACTGTCTTCCCAGACTCCTCCAGTTCTCCCTGCCCCCCCACCTTGCCTCACAGGTATTTTCCTAATATACCTCTGCCACACCAACTCATGTCTTGGCTTCTACTTCTCCAATGAACATACCCTTAATTTGCCCCTAAAATCTGATCTACACAGAGTAGCAAGAATAATCCTTTTCAAAAGTAAATTCTTCTCACTATGAAATCCTCCTAGTCAAAAAAACCCTCAATGGCTTTGCATAATCAAGGATAAAATCCTAAATCCTTAGCATGATCTACTAAGTTCTTTAGTGAGCTGTCAATCATCTGCCCTCCTCACCACCTTCCTACCACCCATCTCCCACCCCCAAGCACTTCTCTGACCTCAACTCTACCACTCTTATCCCTTCGCTCAGCACACTCCAGATAGTCTGGCCTTTCTGCTATTCCTTGAACACGTAATTGCCCCCAATGCTCTCCCAATTAACCTCTGTATTTGTTCTCCCCTATGTCCCCAAAAGCGCTTCTTTACACGGCTTGCTCCCTGCACTTCATCAGGTGCTTTCCTGACCACCTTATATAAAATATAGCTTCCATCATTGACTATCCGTTTACTCAGCTCTATTTTTCTTCATAGCACTAATTACCACCTAACTTTATATTATAAATTTGTTTATTTTTGTTCTCCCAAAATATAAAGTCTACGAAGTAAAGAACTTGCTCTGCTTTGTTTCCCGCTGTATATCCAGCATCTGGAACATGGTAAGCCTTCAATAAATACTTGTTGAATAAATATATTAAACTGAAAAAGCATAACAGAAATACCTCTAATAATGTGACAGGTGGAAACACTAAGGTCTTAATAAGAAAAGTATCAGTACCTTAATATTAGTACCAGGTGCTATTCTAGGCATATTATACACATTTACTCATTTATTCCTTATGACTCTATTAGGTAGGCATTATTATCCATATTTTACAAGGGAGGAAACAAAAACAGAGGCAGAGAGAGTAATTTCTCTAAGTTTACGTAGCTAGTAAGCCCCAGAGCTGGGATTCAAACCCAGGAACTTGGGCTCCTTAAACCCAGGGTTTAACTATATTCCTGCCTCTCCGACCCCAGGTGGGGCCTGAACCTACGATCCCTAGCTTATAATACTAGTGTTTTATCCCTGTAACATACACCATAAAACTGTACCTATTCTAAAATTAGAACTAGGCTATATTTACACATAAACATAGCTTGGGAAAAAATAAGGAAAAACAAAAATGTGACTTATTAGGTGGTGGCTGCTTCATTTTCACTTTGTTAAATATTGCTTAGACAATATATAAGTAAATTTTTAAGAATACAATATGCCAAAATAAGTGACAAAAATAGAGTTGATAATATGGCACAGTAAGATCCTGGGCAAGTCAAAACCCCGCTAAGCCCTCAGATTATTCACTGATCTGTAAAATGGGACTAGTATGAGACTTTAATGAAATAATGCAAATTAAAATATAATAAAGCTAGCAGG